GTTTGGATAACTGTCCTCAGCAAATGTAGTGGATCTTTTCACTTTGACCTCATTTCCTACTCAACTATTACGTCTGGAATTCAGCGTACAAAGCTATTAGTACGTGCTTATGTTCATGGAACTCATTCATAGTTTCTCGCACCATAGGTCCTCTACTGTACCATTTTGAAAATCTGGCAAATGAACTTTCTATAGAATTGAGCTATGAAGATATCAAGAATGTTGTTCTGCAGTATGGATTCCAGCTGGAGGTAAGAATGGAAAGACACTGCCAATGTTGACTTGAAAAGCCTTTAAACAGGAATATAGGTGTTACAGCAGTTACTAACTTTACTTTTTCTCATCCAGATAGAAAGGTATTATTACATAGCTCTCTGAATTGTAGAGATTTGGGACAATATGTATATAAAGGAAAAACTGTAGTTCCTGATGAAATAGACCTTCAATATTGAATGGTAGCTGATAATGGCCAGGCTAATCTTTCACTGACAGGCTCTGGAGAAGGCAGATATCAAAAAAAACAGTTCTTATTTTATACTGCCTGGCCTTCTCTTAGCCACCCCATATTAAATAAAACTTTATGGTACTTTGGCTATTACACTCATTTACAAAATAATAGATTTATTCTTAAGAATAAAGAGAAGCAATGCATTTATGCACTTTGTAGTTGACTTCCTGAATTTGAAGCCATTCTTAACTACCTATTAGCAGTGTGATGATGAATTTACATAACCTGTTACTTTGTATGTGGGATTATGAATGCTACCAGTCTTATTAGGGGAGGGGTAATTGGTTTGTTTGCTTTGGTTTTGGTTTTTCGACACAGAGTTTCTCTGTAGCTTTGGTGCCTGTCCTGGAACTAGCTCTTGTAGACCAGGCTGTCCTCAAACTCACAAAGATCTGCCTGCCTCTGCCTCCCGAGTGCTGGGATTAAAGGCGTGTGCCATCACCGCCAGGCGGGGGGGGGGGGGGGCAGGGGTATTGTTTAAATATAGTTATGATAGTGCCTACAGCTATTAACTTCTTGTTTTTGTTAATTGTGTTGCAATCATGATCTTACGATTTTTGCTTTTTTACAGGTGGAAGAGGAATCTGTATTGTCAACATATACTGTGAATGATCTCTCTATGATGAAATACTACTATGAGTGTGTTTTGTTTGTGGTCCGGAAGCCACAGTAATGGTCCTAAGTAATGGTACTACCCAGAAAAAGGTTTAATATGAACAAATGCTGAAATAAACAGCTCACAGTCAGCTATCAGTGACAACAGGACACAACCTCAAATCAGTGGTGCCTTCTTATTCCTATCAAAATTTAGAAATAGTGTCTATTTTCTTAATATCTATTGCTTTTTTCAGAAATATACTATACCATGCAGATTTATACTGCACAGAAAAAAATGGAGAAAATATCTCCTGTGCAGATATATAATGGAGGAGATATCTTCAAGTACTTTTCTTTGAAACCCAGAATTTTCCTTCTTTAAAAAAATAAACCTAAACTCCAGGCTTGATGAAGCTGTTGCAAGTCTGCCCTGTTAATGACTGATATTACTGAAGTCCACATTAAGCTCCTTTGGGGCTTTCCATTGCCCGTGTTACTTTTAGAAGAGGCTAAGGATCCTCTGTCATACTCGGCATCTGGAATTGGAACTTTGTTCTCATTGACCTAAGTAACTTATAAAGAATATTGAAACTATTCTTCATCATTCATTTTTTTTTCTTCTTAGTCCAGCTGAATTTAGAGAGGCATCAAATATGTCTTATGAAATGCTAATTCAGTTGTATCACAGGTGAAAATTCAATGAAATGCATCAACAGAGAAATTCAGTCTTTGTCCATGCTAAACTGAATCTTCTATTAACTCCTGGAAAATCCCATTGAAGTGTATGAGATGTGAACATTTGGAGGCACAATTTTTTAAGCAGTGTTAACTGGAAAAATAAGAATAAAATTTGCCCATCTGAAACATAACTTCAAATCAGTGATGAGTTACAAAGTTTGTCAATGTAATGTTTACAGTGATGTCTTTTAAGTATGTGGCTTATGAAAGCAAGCACTTTTTTTTTTAGTTAAAATATATTTTAGTAAAAACTGTCATGATAGAATTAATGTGAGAAGTTTTGAGTATGAAATTCAGGGATAAGTTAATGCCCATGGTCTGTGTCTTCAATACTCTAGGCAGCAGCCATTCATGGAATTCAGATTAACAATAGTTTTGTCTCCTGGTAGAGTTGGAGTTTAAACAGTGTGTGTGCTGCTTTAATTTTCTACCTCTAGGGAGGCCTGGTTGGGACGGAATTTCCTTGTTGCTGTTAATTTGTTATTCTGTTTCCATTAGCTAAGAAAGTAAAGAGGACTGATGTTTTCCCTTCTACAGGAAAAGAAAAGTTCTTGCTGAATCTTTCACAGATGCTTGTGACCTCTGTGGCATTCGGATTAGATGGATTTAGTATGTGCTGTGGCATAACTCCCATGTTGCCATGCTTTCATACGAACCTTCAGGCCTTTGTGCTGCTTAGGTTTGGGAGTTTAGGATCTACTGCCCTTCTAGTTGGAGGAGTTCTACAGTGTGGGATTGTCGTCTGCCTCCCCTATGAAGTCCATGGCTCCATGGGGTGCATTTTACTGACACCTTTGAATGTGTTTCTTGTTCTTCCAGTGCTCAGTACTTCAGAATGTTCGTTTGATGGAAATTCTCACTGCTTAGTATTGGCAAGGGTAAAAAGTCTCCCAGAACTATTTTTTTAAGAAAAAAAAAATTTAAAGAAAGGTATTTTAAAAGACGTTCACTGAACAGCAAGATATGCATGTGTTTGTTTTTGTTTAGTTGTTACTTAGGAATGCTTTTATGAATTTTGTAGTATTTCTTGTAGCCTGGTCGTTGTCTTCCTTACAGATGTAAGAACAGACTGACAGTAGTGGGTTGCTTTTGTTACCTAACGTTTTTTTCCCTGCCATGTTTTACTCTAAATAATACCACTTACATTTCTAAATTATATATTTTACTTAACTCTGAGGTCAGTTAATCCTTTTATTTTCAGTTTTTTCCTTATATCATGAATATTTTTAAAAATATTCCTTATAAGTTTGTATCACCCTTTTCTGGCTTTTGAAGTTAATATATTCTAAACTTGAAAATAAGGTATGAATCAATAATAGAAGAGTCACTGGAGGACTTTAGTTTTGTATTTTTATATTTAGGTCTAGCTACTTTACCATATAAATAAGCCTTGAAATTTTAAATTCTTTTTCCTAAATTTGCTCGTACCCAAGTTTTTCATCATAAGGTGATCATGTGCTTGCTGTTTTTAAATTTTGACTTTCTGATGTGGTGCAAATTTAGGTTCTGATCAATGGGCAGGATAGGGCATATAAAATATACAGGGAAGCTGCAGAAATCACAGTATGAAATAATCAAGTTTGAGAACTGTAAAATATATGGTATTTATATGTAATTCACATTCTAAATGTTGCCAGAAAGTTGAATTGGAAACTTCATGTCAGCATGAAATTTCCTATATTTTTAATGTGTATATGAACTTAATTTTTCTTAAATATTAAAGTCTGCCAATTGCTATAACAGCTTTTGTTGGTTGTTTCCCTCTCTGTAATGATGGCCATAATGTAAGTATTATTTAATTGATCATATTCTTTTCACCTCTTGGTTATCTAATTTTTTATGCTTTTAGAAAGCTAGTAATAATGTGCATTTGACCTTTGAGTTTGCCCAGGTGGACAGTATTTATTTTCATTTTGTTTCATTCACGCTCACTATAATGGACTTGGAATTTCCCTAGGAAGAAGATTAGTCTTGACAGAGGCTAATAGCCAAAACAAGGACCAGGATGAGCATTTTTATTTTCTGGGTTCATTTTCCTGAATTCTTCTCTATTGACTGGGGTTTGGGGCAGTCTCAGAGGCCTTTGGCAGAGGCCTGCATGGTGCCTCAACAGAAGCCTGCTGGAGAGGGCTTCACACTTTATTGTGAATGGGTATTTTTCCCACTCCTAGTCTCTTCTCTCTTCTGAACTATATGACATGCCTTTAAAGTAAAGAGGATAGCAGGTTTGCTGTTTTGTCTCAGTTTCTCTCTGAGCTCACTTGGCTGTTTTTTTCTGTGGTAATAAAGCAGAACTTGAGGGTAAGGAGCAAAATGCAGTGAAGCAGTTGATGCCTGAGGTGGAAGGGTCAGGGCTAAAGCAGTCCCAGAGGCATGCCTGTAGAGGAAGATCCACCTTCCAGTATTCTGTCCACAGATGATGTCATCAAAGAAATAGTCCATTCATGAGGTCAGAGCCTTCACTGCTAAACAATCGTTGGGGAATCAAGTTTTTATTTTATTTTTTTATTTAATATTTATTTATTATGTATACAATATTCTTTCTATGTGTATGCCTGCAGGCCAGTAGAGGGCACCAGACCTCATTACAGATGGTTGTGAGCCACCATGTGGTTGCCGGGAATTGAACTCAGGACCTTTGGAAGAGCAGACAATGCTCTTAACTGCTGAACCATCTCTCCAGCCCCCAAGGGATCAAGTTTTTAATGTGTATACACTGGGGGACCTTTTATACTCTGTCCCTACTGCATTTGCCCATCGTCAGTATTGCAGAAGTCTTTTCAGGGTTCCATGAGGGGTGAAGACCTGTTAATGTGCCTGACCTTGGTGCACTGTTTCAGGAGGGTGGAAAGAGGAAAAGTAATCCCTTTTTTGGTTTCATCTTTGTATTAGTCAAGGTTCTCTAGAGTCACAGAATTTACAGAATGAATACACACACACACACACACACACACACACTTACCCACGAGGCTGGGTGTCTCAGCTGGTCTTCTGTATGTGCTGGAATCCCGAGTAGGCACCAGTGCCAGTGAAGGAATGGATATGCTCTTAAGGTGAGGGCAAATAAGTAAAGGGAGAATAAACAAACCATACTTTTCCATGTCTTAGGCTTCCAGCAGAAGGTGTGGCCCAGATTAAAGATGTGCCTTCCCACCTCAGAATCTGAATTAAAGGTGTGTGTCATCTTGCCTCAAAATCTGAATCACAGGTGTGCCCCCATTTCTGGGTTGTAGTTCATTCCAGATATAGTCAGGTTGACAATCAAGAACAGCCATCAAAGTCTCTTACTAGTACTATTTCAGCATGTAATTGAAACCTTGACTGTTACTGTCAAGATTTTGCTGTGCAAAAACATTGACCAAAAGCAACTTGGGGAGGAAAGGGTTTATTTCATCTTACAGAGTTCCACAGCACACTAGATCACTGAGGGAAGTCAGAAGAGGAACCCACACAGGGCAGGAACCTGGTGGCAGGAATTGTTGCAGAGGCCACAGAGGACTGATGCTTACTTGACTTGCTCTTTGGGCTTGTTTAAATCTGCTGTTCTAACACTGGCAAGCTCACCTCTGGCTGTACGATCCTCCAGGACCTTCGGTCCACACACATGCCAACCTGCTTCACATTCGGTCAAACTGTGACTACGTAACAGCCTTTCAGAGCAAGAATATCTATAGGAATACAAAAATATCTAATACCCAGCAAATAAAGTTCACAATGAGTGACCAATCAAAAATCGTTAAACAGGGTTGGAGAAAAGGCTCAGAGCACATAGGTCTCTTAGAGAGGACCTATGTTCAATTCCAAGCGCTATGTTAGACTCCATGTAACTCTAGATCCAGGGGATCTGAGAGCACTTATGGGCACACAGGTGCACATATTTACACACATACCCATGTATACACAGAATTAAAAGTAAATCTTTAATTACTGTGTGGCTCAGAAAGCAGGAAATAGGGAAAGATCAGTGAAATGATGCAACCTCCAAACTAACATGGATTATAAAATTAGCAGAGAGCAGTTAAAACTGCAGTCATATATGTTCAGATATTATTATATTCATGGAAAGAATAAAAATGACCCAACTTGAATTTGTAAAGGTGAAAAGTAGATATTATGGGATGGAAAATAGTGGCAGATTTAAAATCAGAAGCTGTCCGGAACCATAGCACCGTGGAGAGAAGGCTGCAGTGGCTTCTTTGCTCAGGTAGGCATGCTTAGGTTATGTTTGGACTTAGGGACATTTCACACTTCCTGTGACTTCTGCCAAGGATCACTCCCATTCTGTATGACTTTCCCTTCACTCTCCGAGGCCTTTAAAATTAACATAAAGAACTCCTTTTATCTGCCTTTTGAAAATAAAGGCACATTTATTAGATATCCTGTCTGTCTCCCTCAATCCAGGCTTCAACGAGAGTTGAAGGAGGTTATTTAACTTGGTCCTTAGCAGATGCTCAAAGTGGTTACTCAAAGAGTGAACTCTTGAGTAGATACAAGATTATGAGGGCTTATAGCTATACTTCTGTGCCTGAGTGGATAAACAGTAGTACATGGCAAACAGTGGAATACAGTAGCCACTATTTCCACAAATACCAGCCATCTGATACACGCCAAACATTTAGGTGACTGATGTAGAGAAGCTAGATCCATGAAGTCTCACGAACATAACTGCCTGAAACATGAGCTGAACAAGACCACCAATAGAAATGCTAACCTGTAAGGGGAAGCTCACAAGACCTCAACCCTAGTTAAAAAACAAACAAATCCTCAAAAAATTACAGGCAACCAAGGGATGTTGAGAGTGGGAAGACCACGGCGACTGGTTAGACAATACCATTTCTTTACACACACACACACATATACACACACACACACACACACAAATAACAGACTGAGCAGATTGCACCTACATATTTAGGAATTCACACAGATATAAAACAGCCATGAATTTGAAAGAGTAGGGGAAGGAGGACAGAAAAGGGAGGAAATAATGTAATTTCAAAATCTAAAAACATAATTCTTTGAAAGAGCCCTAATTACCGGAAACTCATTTCTAGTGTGGGAGACGAGACTAAACAGCGAGAGCTATACTTTTCTTTACGGTGACCAGAGTTGGGCACACTGAGAAACTGGCCAGAATTTGGTGCTCAGGGGAGGATTATCTATCAATTAGAAACATTTTAAAAATTGAGATCTGTTCAAGGTCTGCAAAACAAAAAACAAAAGCCAACCACTTAAAACCACTTGGTCTGTAACAGATGTGCTTGATGATGAGCAGAATAAAGCAGCGCAGAGGCTCCTGCTGGCTCCAGCCCTGGGGAAAGCAAAGCTAGAGGCTGCCTGAATCCAGGAGTTGGAGGACAGTCTGCACGAATAGTAATACTCTCAAGACAGTAATTTTGTTTTTGTTTTTCAGGACAGGGTTTCTCTGTAGCTTTGGAACCTGTCCTGGAACTAGCTCTTATAGACCAGGCTGTCCTCGAACTCTCAGAGATCCACCTGCCTCTGACTCCCCAAGTACTGGGATTAAAGGCGTGTACCACCACCTGGCTCAAAACAGTAAATTCTTTAAAATGTATTACTTCTTTACCAAGAAAACCGGGGGCGGGGCGAATTAAAACCCAATTTCTGGTTCGTTACTGATAGCATTTGATTTTTGTTCCGTCACTGTAGGTGTGTAAACGCACCAGCTACACTGTGGAGGTGAGCGTCGGGACTACTCAGTTGTTGTTTTCCTACCATATACTGGACAGGGCCTAAACTCAGGTTGTCAGGTTTGGGGGCATGCACTGTAGCCTGCTGAGCTACCTCACCAGCCCCAGTCTGCATTTTATATCAAACTATAGGACAGGCAGAATTGGTAGAAGATACTATTGGGTCAATATGAAAATTGGTTGAATGGGTTGGGTTATGGTTTACATAAACAGTACAAAGTTTAAACACAGACTCTGAAAACCAGTTCAAGATGAATATTAACCTTAGAGTAACCATTAAATATTAATGCAAAGAGCTATAACTAAAGCGCCAAGAGGTTAAACTGAAATGGAATTAAAAATATTCTGGTGATTTAATAAAGTCAGGAAAAAAAATAAAAATGCAATTGTATTTCAGACCTCAAGAACAATGAAAACAACACACCAGAAACTGCAGACTGTAGCTGAGACGGTGGCAGCTTAAATATTAGTATTAGAAAAGAAGACAGCTGGACCTGCTGTGCACCAGTCCCAGCTCCTGCTCTAGTAATGCAATGAATATGAGGTGACCCTGGCTACAGGAACAAGAACAAGTCTCAAAAAACCAAACAATTAGGAAGATTATACTCAATTTTAGGCTCCACCAGCACTAAGAAAGTATTAGGACAACTTGTATTCCTTACTCAGTAGATTGGTCCAACTGAGGGCAAAGTGACAGCAAGTACTACAGTGGCAGTTACAGGCAACAAAGATATGCCAAAGCAATAAAGTTAAACCTGGCAAAAAGGTATAATGAGAACTTGGAACATTTTACCGAAGGACATTTAAAAATCTAACTAGAGTTTGACAACTCCAGAATTAGCAGTGGGCTTGATATTGTAAAGATGAAAACATTTCCCCAAACCAATCTATAATTATGACGGGGCTCATAGGTGTGGGTCCATTCTACCCTGGCTAAAGATCCGAGAGTTAGAACTTGCTTCTTTCCTTCAAAGTTGTCAACAGTTCAAATAACAGGTATGGCTAAAATCCAGACCTGATTTTTCAGATACGAAGCAGATCTGTTTCTACCTCAAACAAAAGTCTAAGGATCCAACTAGGTTCCCACTCCCTTAGGGAGATAACTCTGGATTCCACCCAGGGAGTGGTTTGCCTATACCTTGTTTTAGTCTAGGGTGTGTTACTTGTCTTGTTTTGGGAACAGAAGGTTTAAGAATGTAGCCTCTAATCCTTCAATTGCTCTGATCATTCCTGGTATGATATGAATGCAGGGTTGTTTTTTTTTTATTCTAAATCTTACTCCTACCTTTTGAAGTCAGGGCATTTAAGCAAATGGAAATTAAATGCAGGTGATTTTCAGTATTCACTGGAACTCCCTCCCAGTGCTATCCTCTTTCTGTTTTATTATTTTCACCCATGTCTTCATTCTCTTTACTTATTATGTTCCTAATCCCCATGTCTCTATCCTGGTAAGTAGTATCCTTGTTGAAGCTGGTCTCCAACATAATTCCACTGTAATTCAAAAGACTCAAAGGGAAATGCTATAGGTGGTTTCGTATGGAAGAGCCAGGGGCTAAGTATCCTGCACACAATCCTGAAAATATTCAAGGATTGCTCTATAGCTATCAAGTATTTTAATAAAAACAATGTGTGTGTGTGTGTGCGCGCGCACGTGTGCATTAACTTGAACACATGGCATGGATCAGAGAACACCCTGCTGAATATGTCTTTCTACCATAGGAGTCTCAGAAATTGAAGTCAGGCTTAGGCTTGGAAGTAAGCACTTTTATCCATTAAGCTGTCTTGCTGGCCCTGTCAAACCCGCCTATAAAGCTGTAAGCATGTAGATGCTATTTATTGAGACACAATTGCAAATAGAATAATTGAGCTGAATAGATTGCCCAACCTCTTAAGTTCAGGGAGGAATGGAATTAGCATGGAGTAGGAACCACACAACAGTGAGCAACAACTGTCTCACAGGAACAAAATGTACAACTGTCTCATGGGAACAGAATATACTGTCCTTAGCATAAACACACACACACACACACACATACATTGATTCCAAGTGTAGGAAAGACTCAAGTATGGAAAGAAAATTAGAGACTGTAAAATGTTTAGACAAAACATAATGTACAAACTAAAACAGACAAGGCAGCATCTATCTTGCTATATTGTCATGGCAGGGCCAACGAGATGGCTCCATGGGTTGAGGTACTAGCCACTTGTCTTGACCATCTGAATTTGACCCACAAGATGGAAGGAGAGAACGAATGCAACATAAAGTCGGACCCAGTAGTATACACCTTTAACCCTAGTTCTCAGGAGGCAGCAGCAGATGCAGCTCTATGAATTTGAGGCTAGCCTGGTCTACTTATAGAGCTCAAGTCCAACTAGGGATACATATTGAAACCCTGTCTCAAAAACAAATTAGAAGTAATATACAATGAAAATATAAGACAAAAATTGGTAGAAGTATTTATAATGCCATTACCATAGGAGACATTTCTAGAGTACTAAATAAAAAGGTTCTAATAAACCAGAAAAAAAGGATACCCAGTCAAATTTTTAAAGAGGGCTAAGGACGCAACACACCTTTAACCAATGTCTAGCCATCCGAACTGGGCCATGCAGGTACTAGAGGTCAAGTGTAGGCTTTGAAGCAGAGGTAGTGGTGGAAGGACAAACTCCTTACAGCAGACCAAAACCAAAAGGAAAAACAGGACTGATCATTTGAGCCACATGTAAATATAGAATTCATTTAGCAAAGAACACCATTAAATATAACAAGGCTTTCTGCACCAAAAAAGGATTTCCAACTTCACTGAGTAAGGTGCAAATTGAGGCCACATGAGATCCATTCCACATCGACCAGGTCAGACCACAATGTTTGCTGGTGAGGATGTAAAGAAAATGAAGTAGTAAACAATAGCCTTCCAATGCAAAAAAAAAAAAAAAAAAAAAAAACCCAAAAAACAAACAAACAAAAACCACTTTAAACTGAGGAAAACATTTTTTGTAAAATCAGTCTTTGTCCTCACAAAATCTTTTTGACCAATGCTCTCAGCAGCTTTATACATAATAACTTTTATTGAAAAGTAATTAAGCCATCAACAAATGAATAAACATTCTCATGTAGTGGAATACTACTTGGCAATAAAAAGTAAAGAACAACTAACATGGAAGGATCTTTAAGATATTTATGCCAAGGGGGGGAAAGGCAAACAAAAGTATAGATTGCATCACTCCGTTTAAGTAGAGAAAATGCTGCAAAGTAGATGACAGAAAATAAATTTGATGCTTAAGGGATATTAAGGGGGTGACAAGGGAGAAATTCCTAAGGTGATAGATGTATGCACTATCATGTGTTTTCACAGGCATATGTGATGGCAAAATGTAACATTGCAAATATAAGTAGTTTATTGTATCAGACCTCAATAAATCTTAAAATATCAGCAAAATCAAAAATCTTTCACAAAATATATCTGGGTGAAATATAAGCAGTTTAATGTATCAGACCTCAATACATCTTAAAAATATCAACAAAACCAAAAGTCTTTCACAGATACATCTGGGTGAGTGACTAGATGGGGAAACTACAAAGAAGTAATAAATAACTCTGAAACAAGACTACTTGGGCACAGAAAAGAGAAGGAGGTGCCAGTGGAGAGGAACAAAAGATGCTCTTTGGCCCTTCTGGTACTGGCTGTTTCTGAAACTGGGCTAGGCAAGTCGCATGTCTTTACGGTTATTTTAGCCATGTGCCTGCTTTCTATTACCCTGTGTACATATGCAGTCTTATAACTGGGGAGGAGGGCAAGGCACAAGCCACTGCCCAGGCTGTATTCTATCGTTTTGGAGCACGGTCTATGCAGAATAAACCATCTGAAGGACTAAGTTCTTTAAACTTTTCATTTGTTTCAGGTGGAAGAATTATTAACTGCAAACAACTGGAGAGATTAAATGGAAAAGCTATCGTAAACTTCCTGAGAAACCACTGTCTGCGCCTGTTAATACACTCCTCCCACAACCTTCCAGGGTACACCTCCAAATACAAGCGGTTGAACATGCATGTGGTACACATACATAAATGCACCCAACACATTTTCTTCTTTAAGAGGAGTTAATATTCTCGGAGTCATAGCTAAAACAGAATTATCTTCTTTGCATGCATTTTTGCCTGGAGGCATGGTGGGCAAGCAGTCTATCACTGAGTAATTTAAATCAACCGACTAAAATACAGCCTGAGGCAAACCCACCACGGTTTGCAGTTGTCTTCTCCAGACACTGGAAAGGTCTTGGAATCGGGCGGGCCACAGCAGGCAGGGTAAGCGAAGCCTCGGGCTAAGCAGTCACCTCTGCCGCTCCCGCCCGTGGGAGCTCAAATACCAGTTCAGGAGCAGAGAGGGCCGCAGGGTATAGCATCAGGATCCACGCTCCACTTCCACCAGGCACATCCTCCCACACCCCGCCTCCTAGAGGCGCGCACTTCCGGCCACAAAGGCGCTCGGGAACTCAAGCGGTGAGCCTGCACCAACCAGCGGCCGCGTCGGGCCGGAGCGACTGCGCGCGCATCGCGGCGCAGGTTCGAATCTCGGGCGCCTCGCTGCGGCTCCCCAACGTCCCGGTCCCCCTCGGGGCGCCGCAGCCCTCTGCTCCGCGCCGCCTTCCTCCCTCCCTCCGCCACCCGCGTGCCACCCATCCCCAGCCCATGGCCAAGCGGCGTGCGTCCGAGCCGCTCACGTTCCGCGTGCCTTGGAAGCGGCTCTTGCTCAGCGACTTCCCCGAGGGGCCACCGCTCTGGGTCCCGCCGGCTCGGTCCCGCAAACGGCAGGGGGACGCGGGGACCATGGTGGAGCCTGCGGCTGCGCCCAGCAAGCGACGCGGCGGCGGGGATGGCGGCCAGGAGCGGCAACTTTGCCGCGGCCTGGAGCCGGGAAAGCCACCTCCAGGCGAGCAGGAAGAACCCCGGGGCAGCCGAGCTCCCGGCGGCGACGACGACGGGATGGGGAGCGCGGGCAGCGGAGCCGACGGGGCGCACGTCCAGGTAGGTCCGCCCCGCACCAGCCCGGAGCCGGGTCCCAGACTGCGGAAGTCCGGCCCATTCGAGGGGCTGGACCAAATGGTAAAGACCGTGGTCCTGAGGGGTCAGCTCAGTGAAAGCCGGCGATTATTGTAGAACTTGTAGTAGGTTTTCCAGTAGCATCCATCAGTTAATTGAGCACGGTGCTCGGCTGGGCAGAAGGGAAGGGTGTCGTCTGGTCTTAGGAGAACCCGTTAACTCATAATGTTCAGTCCTATGAGAAAGGGTGGTGCCGCTGTCAGTTTTGGCAGCAGCTAGCCATGAAAGCCAGAAAAAAAAAACAAAACACTAGAGGTGCAACTTATCCAAATCTATGTGTTGTAAGTGTATAAAAGAGTAGGCTCTTAAAATTTGGTTAAGATAGAAGTTCAAAGTTGCCCGCAGTGGCGATGCACACCTTTAAACCTCGGGAGGCAGAGGCAGTTGGATCTCTTGAGTTTGAGGCCAGCCTGGTTTACAGAGGGAGTTCCGGCATAGCGGGGGGGGGGGGGGGGGGCGCTACAAAAAGAAACATTGTCTCAAACAAAACAAAACAAAAAATGGGGGAGTCTCAGGGTCTGTACTTTGTTACACACGAAGTAACTTTTCACACGGTGGATGGAATGAAATGCTAATTTTACTTTGTAAGATGTGACTGGAAAACTCCAAATGAGTTTATAAACGCACATTGTATATGTACCGCACAGCCTTGACCTGACTTGAGAACTCTCGACCTGCCTTTAAAGCGGTTCTGGTATAAGTTGGTGGAGGTTAGGGTATTTGGCAAGTGTAATTCTCAGAACTCAGCAAAACCACCTCAACCATCTTGGAATGCATCTGCTCAATGTCTTTTTTTAGTGTCTTAAACATTTATGACAAAGTTAAGAATCATGCCATAAATTAATAATTGAGGTACTTTTGCCATTGTTTTTCGTGCGAAGTCTGATAATGGAAATTTTTTATTTGATACTTCCCCCTTCCCCTTGGTTGTGAGAGATTATCTCTCTTTTTGTTTCGATTTTCTAGCCTGGTTTCTCTGTTTTAATCTTGGTTGTCCTGGACCAGAATGGCCTCTAACTCAGAGATCTGTCTGTCTCTGTCTCCCAGGTGCTGGGTTGAACGTATGGGGAGAGATTATCTTTCAATGCTGCTGTGACTGTTTCTAGTTGTGGTTTCGAGTTGTAAATATATAATTTAACATGGGCCTTATTTAGACTTTCGTTAGTTTGCGAGAAGTTCAAAATCAGCTTCCATAAAACAGAATCATAGTCTTCCATGACCATTGGGTAGAGGCGCATGGTGTCTAGGGTGAGACCTTCCTCTCCAGACCATCTTTGGCAAGCTGTCCACATGCAGATTACCTTTCCTATCAGAATATACTGTGTGCAGTGTAGGTGCAGTCTGTCTATATGTGCACGACTGATAAGGGATAGAGAGGGACAAGTTGACCACGGGGAGCTTTTTGTTGTTGTTTATTTGAGAGGATTTCTTTGTGTAACAGAGTGTACTGGAACTCACTTTGTAGATCAGGCTGGCCTTGAACTCACTGAGCTCCACCTGGCTCTGCCTCCCAAGGGCTGAGATTAAAAGTGTGTCCCACCACCACCTGGCTCAAAGGGAGCTTTTAATATCTGCCACAGCATCTGCTTTAACTCAGTTGGGTCTTGCCTCACACATTGGCCAGATATGGCAGTTTTTACCCTGTGTTAGTTGCAGCCAGATGGCAGTCATGAAGCCCTGCAATGTTCTGTTAGGTCTGTTCTTGAGTTCCCTCTCTTCTGCAGAACTATGAAACGACAGAAATTCTCCATCTCTCTTGCCTTCAATGACAAGATTTTGTATTAAGAGCATATCATCTAGGAGAAAAGAAAGACTATAACAAAAAGCATACTGACATCAGTGTCGGTCTGATTTCTCTTTGCTCAGATTAGGGCTTAAATCCTTGCCCTAACCTCATAGTCTCATGTAGGAAATGCCTTCTTTTCATGCACAGTAATCTTAGCTACTTGTTGTGGTGCTGTCAAGCTTCAGGATGGGTCCTGCGTGGTTTCATGTACAGAGTCAATGTATGTATGTACATATGTACATGTGTGTGTGTACACAAAGCTTATATGTGTATATAGAGAGGGGATAGTTTAATGTACGTGTATACTCAAGACAAAGCCAAGAGTGCATTTATGTTATATATAAATATCTTTAATGACGGTATAATTTTATGCAGACTAATTGCTTAGCCAATATTGCATTATACTTTCCAATAACAGCAGAAATTTTTGTTTGTTTTTTTGTTTTTCTAGACGGGGTTTCTCTGTGTAACAACCCTAGCTGTCCTGGAACTAGTTCTTGTAGACCAAGCTGGCCTCAAAATCAGAAATTTACCTGCTTCTGCCTCCCGAGTGCTGGGATTAAAGGCATGCGCCACCACTGCTTGGCTCAGAAATGTCTTATTAGGACAAGAGTTAATAATATGTGATATCCAGCAATAGTGAGCATTTACCGTCTTAATTTTTAATTCTCACAAAGATCCTAATTCATGTTTCTAAGGGGGTAAGATCGGAGATTTTTGCCAGTTACTCAAAGTGAGGTATACCCGATGGCAGCTCGTTCTCAGTCACTGTTAGACTTACATCAGATGATCCTTTTCCTTTGTACTTGTAAGTAGAGAACTAGAGGGTAACTATTTTGACCCCATTTGTTTATTAAAGTGGAATGTTTTTTGATACATCCTTTAAAAGTTTGTCATGTATGTATTTGGTTATCTGCTGAGCCATCTCACCAGCCCTGTCTTTTGACTTTATTGTATCTTTAGCCCAATATTAAGAAATTCCCCCAAAGACTAATTCTTTCTGCCCTAAAGTCTCAAAGGGTGACTGTAACATGACTGCTTATCCTGCTGTCAACTTTGTCATGTCTCCCCTGAGCATTGACATATAGCTTTGAATAGTAGAAGTGTAAGGTACATTCTTAATTTTAAAAAGAGTGTCTTATACCATTACGTTTTGAAATGTTGAAGCAATATTTTTGTTATATTGGGTTAAAGAAAATCAAAGTTAATTTCCCTTGTTTTTATTTCTGTTATCATTGGAGGAGTAAGTACATGTGATTGCCATTGCGGTGGATGGAGTTACTGTAGTGAGTGTAAATGTAACACAGCCGAGTAAGGCAAAGGTGTTCAGGTTGAGAACTGTCACCCGTCAGCCTTTGTGGACTCCAGTGCTGCTGTCTTTACATGGAGTATTTTAAGGATGTTGTGCCAATTTTAACTTCATTACTTAAAGTAATGTTGTAATCATTTAGGGTATACTGCTTAAAGTTTAAGGGGTCACCGTTCATTTGGCTTGATAGACCTAATTGTCAGTCATACTGATAGTCAATTCTGTGTTCTTCTCTTTATCACGTTTATATACTAAACTTTATAGGAGGTCATGAAGTATTTTGGCCTCTATGTTAGTCTAAATCCTAAACATCAGGACAAATCAAAAGTAGGTTATATTTCTCATTGAACTTAACACTGTCGTTCCTCAAACTCACATGGTGACTCACAACAGTTTGTAACTCCAGTCTGAGGGGATCTGATGCCCTCTTCTGGCCTCCTCAGGAACTGCATGCCCACAGTACACAGACATACGTTCAGGCAAAATACCCATACACATAAATCAAAATTTTACAGCACTACAATTTTTTTTAAAGATGCTATTAAAGGAAATTTTTCAAAAAATTTAAACCCTTAGCAAATACAAACCCACAGATTTGATTGGGTATGTGAAATGCTTTATCAAAATCAAAACTGCCTTTGTTGAAAATGAAAAAGTGTGTAAAACATATCTAAGTCTTTTTCAGACAGAGAATTTAGAAAGTAGTTATTGGGCTGGCAGGATGTCTTAGCAGGTAAAGGCATTTGCTTCCAAGCCTGAGGACTTGACTTTAGTCCCCAGAACTCACATGGTGGAAGGGGGGGGGGGGTGCTGTCTCCTGAAGGTTGTCCTCTGATCTCTTTGAGCCAGGGTAGCCCAGGATGGCCTTAAGTTTACAGCTCCTCCACTCAGTGCCCTCAGTGCTGTGATTCTGGGCATGTCAACCTGCGCAACTGAAAGAAGGAGATATTCCCTAGTGTGTATGTGTGGTGTTGTGTTGTGGGTGGGGTGTGTGTGTGGTGGGGGTGGTGTTTTATAAACCAGTGCTAACATTTTATCTCTCTTCTTTCCTTAAAGCCCAGTGAAGACTTTTGGCAGTATAATACGTTCCAGTACTGGAGGAATCCTCTACCACCTCTTGATCTGGCAGCTCTTGAAGATGTGAGTGCCGACAGTTTGACAGAAACACTTGAGGACAAGAATGAAGTAGTTGAGATTGACATGGAATCCTGACAGGAGAAACTGAAGAAGTGGATTTTTTAATTTGAGAAGAACTAAAGGAAATGTTATTTTCCATCCTTGACATTTGACATGGTACTGTTGTCAAACCTGAAAAATGGGGAAGAATTTTTCAGGCTTAAATACTTGTAATTACTACTGAATATCCTAATGGAGATTTTTAAAGGATTTAATATAGCTGGAGGCAAAATACTTGCATTTTTAGTGAAAGGGGTTTTGTTCCTGCTCTAACTTTGGAGATGCTTATCTTGGAAAGGGTGTTGCAGCTTTAGAGGAAGCACTCAGCTCTTCCTCTCTTGCTCTGTCAAATGCTCCTCTGCACCAAAAAGCTTTCTTGCGGTACATGGAATGAACACATTTAACATTTATATAACTGATGCTAATAAATACTTTCTAGTACATTTTATTGGCTCCTCTTGGTTGAACAAGTAGACTTGAGTATCTATGCAAATTTAAAGTGTGAGATTGTTTCTTAAGCTAATATTGTTTTAGAAGACAATGAATTTTAAACTAGTGAGAATTTCCATTTGGGTAGCTTGTTTTATCTTTCAGTATTTGCTGTTTATTAGAGACAACGGATATAGCCAAAAACTGGATAAAGAGCAGTAAGAAGTAGATGCCTGCCCCTCCTCCCCTTTTCTGAAGTGAAAGGAATGATGTGGTCAGAGAATTGAGTTTTGGTTTGAGTCCATTTTGTTACTGTTGACTACTTTAGCCCCTTGACTACTTTAGCCCCGCAGTTCTCAACACTGATAGCACTTTAACAGGTTTTGTTTTTTTGAGCCCCACCCTAGAGAAATTTCATTCAATTATTTGAAGGTGGGCTTTACACATAATTAGTCTTTTATTGTTGTGTTGTTTTGGGTGCCAAGTCTGCATTCCTGTACTGTGCAGAGCTGGCCAGAACCACTAGACTAGGAGCTTTTCCTGTTTAAAGGAGATCGCTAGTGAGCTGAAGAATGCCTGTTTGTTAGTCTTGTCCTTGATTTGTTACATTATTGGATCTGTCACTTCTAAGTTATTGTGTTACAGTTTTATTGTTAATAAAGTACACTGTTTATGCTTGAGTTATGTATCAATTACTGCTTTTTGTATTGCATACAGAATGCTGGCTTTGTTACTGAATAATTTGTTTATGTTTGTGTATTTTTGACATTAAATCCAGTTCAAAATTTAGAAAAGATAGTTGATGTCAGTAAGAGGAAAATGAGAAATAATAAATAGTATCTACCTCAGAGTGACTACTTTTTAAAATGTTATGTTTGATTGGCATGTTTTTCTGTGGTTGATCCTCACTCTTATCTGCCTGCCTGTCCAGGCTTCCCTGATGTTTTGTTCATACACAGGGCTGTTGTTTCAGCCTCTTCATCCTCCTTCTTTAAACCTTTTCTACCTCCTGGGGCCCCTGTCTCAGTCTCTTCCTGTTGTGATGCCAACAGAATCAAAAAGCCACTTAGGGCAGAGAAGGTTCACTCCAGCTCTGCCTAGGCTATAGTTCCCCTTATGGAAGTTCAGCAGCAAGGGCAGGAGGCAGTGGACACGTGTACTCAGTCTAAGATAACCTTTAAAATGGCAACTTTGTATATGTATGTGGACACTTGTTTTCTCTGTGGTGGTCAGTGAACAACTTGAGAGTTGGTCCTGCCCCCTGTTTCCTGGGGACCAAACTCAGGTCATCAGGCATGGAAAGCAGTACCTTTACCTGCTGAGCCAGCCTGATGGCCATTACCTTTTTATATGGTCCAGGATTGCTGCTCAAAGAATGGTTCTACACACAGTGGCAAGCCCTATCTCAGCTGGGGTCAAAATAATTTCTCCCAGGTGACAATAGATCTTGTCAAGTTGACAGCATCACAGACCTGTCTAGTTTCTTGGCTTGCCTATGCTCACCCCCTCAGATATATGTTTGTTAAAAGCAGATCTATTTTAAGAGAAACATTTAATACTTGTTTTTCTGAACTTGGGTTACCTCACCTAGTACTTTCTACTTCATACGTTTTCCTACAACTTTTTGGTTGTAGTTGAATAAAATTCGATTACCTGTGTCAACGTTTTCTTTGTCTGCTGATAGACGTTGAGGCTGATTCCATTTACTCCTCTTGTGACTAGGACAGGAATAAACACAAACGTGCACACACCTCTTGCAGGATATAGAGTCTTTTGGATACGGTATGTCCAGAAATGGTATAGCTGGTAGTTATATGCTCATATGGTAGCTCCACGTCTAGTATAGGGATATTTTTTCTTTTTCCTTTTTTGTTTAGAACTTCACTCTGACAGTGGCTGTACAAGTTTACATTCCCGTGAACAAAAAGGGTTTTCCCACATCTGTTTTTTCATTTTTTGAGACAGAGTCTTGTGTAGCCCTGGAACTCCAGGTGTGTTCCACTACACCCAACTTGACATTTGTTTTCTTGATAGCCCTATTCACAAGGGTGGGATGCAATCACTACGTTTCAATTTGCATTTCTCTGCTGGCCAAGGACATTAAACTCTTCAAAAGACTTCTTTGTCGGGCTGGGGAGATGGCTCAGCGGTTAAGAGCATTGTCTGCTCTTCCAAAGGACCTAAGTTCAATTTCCAGCAACCACATGGTGGCTCACAACCATCTGTAATGAGATCTGGTGCCCTCTTCTGGCCTGCAGACATTTAGACAGAATATTGTATACGTAAGAAATAATTTTTTTTTAAAAAAAATACTTCTTTGTCCTTGTGTTTCTTTTAAGGACATTTATCGGTTGGCAGTATGTACGTGTGTGCCACAGTTCCTTGTGTACTGGGTATTAGCTCCTTGTCTGGAGTGTGACAAAGTCTCCATGTGTCTCCCATCTTTTCACCCTACTGAAGCTTTTGCTTTGCAGGAGCTTCTTGATTTTATGTAATCCTGCTCTGTGATGCTGGAATTCTATCCAGCAAATGTTGTCCATATCTACATTTGAGAGTTGTTTCTATGCTTCCCCTACAGGTTCAGCATTTTGTGTTTTAAATTAAGGTCTTTGGTCCACCTGGGATTTGTTGAAATAGAATTAGATGTAATCTAATTCTTCTGTAGGTGGGCGCCTTTGCTGGGTGAAAATAACCTTGGACTGATCGTCCTGCCTCCACCTCCCTGCTGGGATTACAGGTGTGTGACACCTCACCTGGTTTATGTGATGTTGGGGATCAATCCTAGGGCTTCCTGTATGCCAGGCAAGTACTCTAACAACTGAGCCGCACGCCCAGCCCATAAATATTACATTTAGAGGTATATTACATAATAGAGAGTTGGTAGATTTGCTTAGGAGAACAAAGACGACAGGAAGAAACCAATGAACTTGATGGTGGAGCAAACGAAATGATCACAGTTCAACACAAGAAAGAACACTACAAGGAACAGAATCTCAGCAGCTCATGGTACAATGCAGAAACTCAGAATATTTACGTCACTGAAGCTCTAAGAATCACTGAGCTGGGAATGCAGCTCGGGGCTATAGTGCTTGTTCAGTATAATGGTGAGTCACTGGGATCAGTACGAAAAAACACGGGATGGGTGAAAGTAATATTACATAGAACCTTATTTTGAGGAATTAGATCAAGTGGATACATTTCTTTATAGGCATAAACTTCTATGGCATCTTCATAAATATGTAACCTTAATAGTCTCATGTCTATTAAAAAAAAAACTAAATTCATACCTTGAAACCTTCCAACAGTCCTCTGGAGTCATGTAATCTTGCTGGAAAACTCTTCCAATTACTTAAGGTAGAAATAACACAATTTCCTTCAGAAAAATGAGACATAAACACTTTTTCAGTTCATTTTGCAAGGCCAGTGTCACTCTGATTCCAAAACTAGACAAACATCTCTCATGCACATAAACATAGAAGTCTTCCTCTACAAAATGCTGAGAAATAAAATTTATTAACATAAATATACATATTCCTCTCTGATATCCTAAGGTAGGTTTAATAGTCATTCTTTTTTTCTTTTGCTTATCTAATTGTTTTTTTTAATCTGCATATTTCATTTTACTTTTTAATCCAAGACAGACACCACAGTCATGATTGGTCCTGAACGTGTTTTGAATCTTCACGGGGCTAATGAGTCTTTGGAAACTCCAAGCTGTTGAAGTGACATTGCTTTGTGAATAAATAGCTTAGTATTCCAGTCAGTAACCAGCTTTCAAATATGCTGGCTCGCCCTCCAGATGAAAGGTGGAGCTATTGCATGATGCTTATTAAAATTTCAAAACAATCGTTTTACTTACATTAGTATAGCTTTTCTGATGTGAACTCATAAAAGTACAGGTGTGAAAGTGTGGGATCATTCATTGGTGCCCAGTTGCTTACCAGCCCTGCTTTATAGGCATCTTCTGGATAGTGAGTTCCAGGTCAGGGTAACAGTTGGGGAGTCTACACAAAACTAAATCTGTCAACCAACATCTTAATAGTGTACACTCCTTTTCTGATTATATAAATTGCATGTGCATATATAGGAAATTTAAAGCATAAAAGGAAAAAAAATGAAATTCCATTTCCCAGAGACAACTCCAGATAATATTTTGCTTTGATATTTCTTATCTACAATTATACAAATACATTTGAATCTATTATGGTTTATTTTTAAGTAACTCATGAACATTGTTAGACACATTTGATCCCCTGCCCCCAGATTCTGTATTGTTTTATCATACTTCTGCCTTTTGGACTATGTATCAGCTTGAAATTTCCAGATTTTCAGCGGGAATGGGGAGTGATGAAAGAGGGTGGTGTGTATAGGCCTAACCCGACTCAGTATACATACGTATGGAATTGTCAGAGTGATACAGACCTACATATGTACACACACACAGGCGGAGGGAGTGATGAAAGGGTCCAGTGGTGCATAGGCATAACCTGACTCAGTATACATATGTATGGAATTGTCAGAGTGATACAGACCTACATACGCACACACGGGCTTTTGGTCTATTAAAAAGAAGCAACTTGTGAAATGTAAGCAAAGAGTTGAACACAAACAATTATTTTTAAATGACACCAATATAATTAGAATAATGTATAGTAGCATGAGGTGAACATCCCACCCAGCCCCTCTTGATGGACACTATGATGGGCGAATGACAATTATGGACTAAAAGGAGAGGTAAATGGACATCATTTTACATGAGATTTATTATTAAAAAATATATATACAATTTTATTCGAATCTAATGAAGGAAATTAAATAAAGAGCTATTTCCCAGATAAATGTTTCTTTTACATTTTTATTTCTCTTTTAGAGTAGTTAAAAGTGCTTATACCAAAGGCTCACATCCGAGTTGAGGGCTAAGACACTGAACATACGGTGATTGACTAGTGCAGCTTGTGCGTCTCCACACTGCCTATCTCCTGCCAGACAAAACTGTCTCCTGGTTACATGGTGCTTAACAAAGGACAGGGTGAAGGTTGAAAACCAAGATGATAAGGTAAGCAGCAAGGAGATGCATGTATCTTCCCTGCTACATGTAGAGTCTTCTCGTGCCTGTTCCTCGGCCTGAGGCACCTTAGGATCCCCTTTCTTTGAAGCCGTGAATACATTGCACGGTGCTTTCAGCGCAGTTCGTACATCCACTCCCCCTACACAAAGGGAACAGTGCTGACCTACGTGCTTCCGCTTTAGAACCCATTGAGAGAAGGAAGGAAGCAAGAGAATGACAGAAAGTCAGAGAGATGGAGTCAGCACAGCTCCAGCTCCCCGTGGGAACAAGAAGGCCCTTCCCGCTGTAAACTTAACCACCCACAAAGACATTAAACCACATCTGTTTTCATTGCTGCCTCCAGCTCTCTCTGCTTATCAATTACATTTACAGAACTCATGAATAACCTACTGACGTGTTAGCTTATCTGCCCGAGCCCTTGCCTCCTAGCTTCACAATTGGTCTTTCGTGGGACCAATTTCAGGGCTTCTAGCCATCTGGCCTCTCAGCTTTTCCTTTGGTATCTTTCTCCATAGCTGAGCGATTCTTCGATTGTACTTGTCTACAAAACCAACAACATTTAGACAAGGCCAAGGTCTTCCACTAGCCTGAGCTATACCACTCAAACCTGCTCAAACCGCAGCTCGCCTGCCCTGAGTCCTGGTCAGCTGAACATAAGGATATGTACCAGAGACAATGGTCTAAGTGGTATGGAGATTAGGAGTCTTTGTTGCAGGGGCCGCTCCTTTGTTCCCGGCTGCTTAGCTCCTAAGTAATCACATAGAAAATGTATTAATTAAA